AGCCCTGCTCTTCAGACACGTTCTTCAGCGGTAAGGCGTGCGTCGCCTCCGCCACCGCGACCGTCGTCGCCGTCGTCGTCGTCCTCGTAGCTAGCAGTCGACTCAGAGGCCAGCAATGCGGTTCTCTCCCCCGTTTGCACCCCGGCGATCAAAATCGAACGAAATATTCTCTCTCCATACTTGGCTCACGTGGATCTCATATATGTATGTGGTACACGCGAGCGCGGCCATTCTACATGCACACAGAACGCGCCTAAATACGTACGATCCTGGTATATAATTCTATACGTATATCCCTGTTCGATACTGTGCACGCATGTACTCGATCAACGGGGCACGGTGTACCAGATACACGCACGAAAACACGTCTGCGCGATTTCGCAGCGCAGAAAAATCGCCAAGGTGTACATTCTGCGAACGGTACAGTTGTGTGTATACATGCACAACAAGAATATATTGTGTATATATATATACATATACATAGGGACAGTAAGAGACGGTGAGGACACGGTGAGCCGCTGGAGTTGCAGTAGTTTCGCAAAGCAACGACAATGATCGCCGTGGAAGGCAACCGGTTGCACGCGCTAAAAATACGACGAACGACGCGGAACGCCAAAGAGGAGTTAGTTAATGCGGCCGGCCGCGCGGCCAGAAACTGTTCCGTTCGTTATTAAGTTGAACAGCAGAAGAGGACGGGGCTGCTGATGCTGGCTGGCTGGTTGGCTGGCGCCGGGATCCGACTATGCGCGTGCCGGCGTCGCCCCCTTTGCCACGCCAGGCCCTCGTGGCTCGTGTGTATGTCGTCACGAAGGGGTCCTTAGACGGGACCAATAGGACACTTTACGGGAGCACACGGGGCCCCATCGATCCACTCGCCGCGGTTCCAAACGATTGAAGCTGTTATATTCGTTATCGTAATTATTGACTCGGGCCACGTGATAGAGATCTGTCGAGCAAGATCACCGCCTTTTTCGGGTGAACGCCTGTAATCCACGCGGTGGCTGGGAATGATGGAAGGATCCAAGGATACTCGGCCCAGCGCGTTCGTCGGAGCCGCATAAAGAAACACGTTTCTTAAAGTATGGCATTACACGGGACGTAATGTATAACATCAGGGCAGCTGATAAGATATAAACTCGGTGTATAGTCGGGATCATTATTGCTCGTAATAGGCCGCGACGACGAGAATGTACGCGCGGCCGCGTGGACTGGGCCCGTTCCCCTGCCGCAGCAGCACTCAACACACGACCTGTACACTGACGTGCAAACTCGGCTTCCGTTAGGGGAAAAAGTTGTGTACTGAAAAGGCCTCCTGTCACTTGGTATCGGGAATTGCTAAAATTTATGCCAAGTTAATTTTAAGCGTACGGTAATCCCGGTTTGACAAGTCCGCCGCAATTATATCAGAATTATTGCCGTCATCGATTATCGGCTGATTACACGGTGATTACGGTGGCAATTAGATCGATTAATAAGCGGCTGACACGCACGTGCGCGCACACGTTATTTTCACGCTTGGGTTTCGAGCGGTGAAGGCTCTGACGGTGCACATATGTCGGGTGAAAATCACCCTTAACACGAGGGGGGGTTTGGAACGCTGTGCCACGGGATCTTTCATTGTAAATCGTGCATCGTCCCGAGGATGTTTCATCCTCGTCGTCGTCGTGATAAACTGAAACAAGCGGGAATATAGTTTCGGAAACCGTGTACACGATAACTCCGAGGTATTTACGAGCCGGAGTCGAGAGCAGGAGCTCTCCGGCCAAGAAGTCGGCAGGTGCTCTCTCTTGGGCAAAAGGTGGCGTCCCGAGACAGCCTTGAGAGAGCGTGCACGGGTCGTTGCTTTCGGCGAACGATGAGAAACAAAATTAGTCGTCTTTTGCCCGAACGACGAGCTCGCTAGATTCCGTTCGCGAGAAAGTTTCGGGGCCACCGAGAACGGGGGATACAACCTTTGTTCTTTTTCAGCCGGCAGAAGGTAATTTGTCGAATGACTTGGCCGTGACGACCGAGCGGCGAGCATCAGCAACAAGCAGCAGTCAGCAGGTTTTCAAAGAATTTTTCACGGTTCCCTGTTTCCACAGATTTTTGTATACCTGTGTAATTTATTACACGCCCCTTTTAGCATAATTTTTTGATCAGGTATAACAAAAACGGTTCGAGCTTTTCGTCGTTTCTTTTTTGTCCGCACGATTGTAATTGATGCAAAGGAATATTATTATAATTTACTGTTTACCGACAGGTGTAAATCAACCCGAAAACATCGGCGGTACTTTTAACACCGGACATACCGATTTCTTCGTATTTCTTTCTTTTTTTTTGTTTCTTTAAACATTTAAACATACACCGGTAAATAAACTTTTACGGCAACGCGACCGCTAAAAGCTTTCAAATTTTCGTCCGGACGATTGTCCATAAACGTTAATATTTTATATTCATATCCCAGATACCCGGGGTAAGCAGGTAATAAAAGTTTCGGATATTCCGGAATTATTCTGGAGCGGATCGGGGCTGTCCTCGAGAATGGAGGACACGGTCCCGATCGTGTGGGCCCCGAGACTAAAAATCGAGCAAATCGGGCCCCCGGCTCGGGGAAGAAGGATGGAGGAAGGGTCGTCGGCAGAGAACAATGGAACACGGTTTGCACCTCGGTTCAAGGTCCGTGGGTGCATTTAGATCGGTTTAGAACCCTGAATTCGCCCCTCCCCTCGCCCCTCCCCTTTTCAATCGCGACAAAAGCCGCTGGTCGTGGACAGGTGCATGCCTCGTTCGGTAGAACTGTGATTTCTGACGATTATTCAGAGGTTACAGGTATCGGCTAAAGCAATTACTTGTCTCGTCTCTTTTGTCGTATCGGGCACCTTCGACAATTAGATCGAAAAGGGGAGAGATGGACAGCTTCTTATATCGTTCGCTTTTATACACGTTCTGAACTGGTTCCTATTAAAAAATTTATCGCAGTGCGCCTTTAAAGTGAACCGAGAGGACGCGAGATTGTTCTTTTATTAAGCTGTGCTCTTCAACACACGCATAACGGCCACGGTTTTTGCGTCGCCTCGATGAGAATGGAATTTTAATGGCTTTTTCTGCAAGAATTAACGATCGGCCATTTTTTCTTCAAGATTTACGCTTATGTTAATTGCAAAGCAGCCGGGAAATTGCAACATTGGACTGCCGCTGCCGATCCGCGACGATCGACGAATCGCGGCGCAACACACCCGGTTGGGTCTCCTCCGGTGGAATCATCGACGACGGAGTTCAAGGACGATATATCGTAGGAGCTTAACCTAGCTTAACCGATTCAGAGCGAAGATATTCCTCGATATGTATATACTTCGATTATGGAAAGTTAACCATTCTACGCATCGCCTATATAACACGCTGCACAACGTGTTCGAACCGAGACACGACGGAACGATCCTTGTGGAAACTAGTTTAGTGAGAGTATCGGGTCGAGTATTCGTTCGGATGAAAAATTTCACCATGCTTACTTTTCTTTATTACTCTCCTTTCGGCCTGTAAAAGAATGTAGCGTGTAATTCAATCGAAAAGATCGCTTTGATTATAAATTTTCAAGTAATTTCATTAAAAAAAAAAAACGTTCCAATCGCTATAGAAATTTTTGTATCTACTAATGATCAATAATAAGGAGAAGAAAAAAAAAGTTTATAGCGGCAGAGCAGCAGGATCATAAAGTCTTATCGCGCGAAGCGAAGTATAATTAAACCATACAAAATCGCAAACCCCGGGCAAAAGGGATCCTACTTTCGCATCGATACCGCGGGACCAGTCGAGATTTCCTTTGAAATACTCTTGACGTCTTGTCTAATTTACGGCGTGATAGGAGTCTCAAACGATCCAACTGCAGTTTACGACTCAAACGATGCCTCGCTATTATTTCTCAGGGGTCGTAAATTTCCTTCCTGTTGCATTTCCCTTCGGCCGCGGATGTGCCGCAATGACTGTACGCACCACGAAAAAGTGTACACGACGGAGCGCGTTTGCTAGGCACCCTATATGCACGCGGAGGTCGTTGACGGGTCTCCGCGGCGAGAAGAGGGTGTTGCATCCGCGTGGTTCGCAGTGAACGACGCGGTGCGCATGCAGCCCGGGCATTCATGGGAAATGCAGTATCGTCGCCGAGAGTCGCGTAAAACAAGTGGCTGCGGAATGTAAATCGAATTGCGGAGTAAGATCATTAAAATATAAATTCTGCGAAGTCGACGTAAATAATGCAACAAATAAATATATATAAAAAATCAACGATGAGACAAATGGAAATTGTACAATTTTTTTTTCAAACACACGCAACGAAAAGAACTATGAATTTTAATTGAAATCGTGCTCGAACAATCGTACCAAAAGGGTATTGGCGGTGAATAATCAAATTAACAAAGCCAATACCGACAAAATGAAACGGCAACCCTCGTTCAGGCGTCTCGTGTTATTGCAAAGAGATGGAGCTACGATCCCCGGCCAGTCCCGGGCTCGTAACCATCGCCGTGGAAAATCGGTGGTGCAGCCGGCGTTCTAGCCACCGCGGATCCATAGGGGAACTTCGCAAAGGCTCGAACACGAGCGGTAATACGGAGGGGGTTGCAAGCCGGTAGAGACGAGTGCACGCGCCCGTATCCGGAGGCGAACGAAGTGCGGCGCTCTCGGCCGGTAGGTGCGCTGGTACATTGTGCGCCGGTTTGCCGTGAAGTGGTGGGGAGGGGTGGTACGTGGCCACGTGACCGGCCTGACCAATCACCGCGACGCATAGCCGGCGTCCGGCACATGGCGGCGCGCCGGCTGTGGCACCCGCAGTCGCAGTACGTCGCAGTCAGTCGCAGTGGTAACACGAGCGAGAGGGTAGTTGCACGCGCCTGCCTTCGAAAGGAAAGATCGCGGTGAGGGAGAAACAGAGAGAGAGAGAGAGATAAAGAGAGAAAGAAGGAACGAAAGAGAGAGCGCGGCGCCCCTTGCCTCCGTTTTCAGTGCTTCAGTCGCGCATACCGGTTTAAATAGAGACACACGCGAAAAAAGAAAAACACACGCACGACGATATATCATCGGGGAGCGACGACTTTGACGGTGGCAGCAAGTCGCGCTCTTGACAAACACGAATATCGCTTACGAACTTGTTTCCGACCAGTGCGAATATCGAGGGAAGGCCATTTTCGTCGTTGGCATTACCACGCGGTGAAAGAAAGCGCGCGAGTGAGAGACTGATTCGACGGGAAGAGGACGCGCGATCGTGGACGAGACACGAGAGAGATTACGAGCGAGTAGCCCACACGTTTCCAGTGTGTGAGTAACACTCACGCCGTGCGGCCGAGTATAATACGCGCACGGCAGAGAGAGGAGATCCGGACGAGAAAAAACAAAGGATCAAGACAGAAACGAGAAGCGATCACCGGAGGCCGCGGGTCAACGATTTTATTTTTGTACGGTGCATCGTTGTTTCTTCTAAACACATTCTATCTCGTGATCGCCACACGGATCCTCGAGCGTGGAACACGGCACTCTAGTCCTTCGTCCCTGAACGATCGTATATATGTGCTAAACACCCGTGTGCGCGCGTGTTACATTATTGTTTTTTGTCTGATCGTTTCGGAGCAGAGACTTTGGATCGCGTGAAGCAACTCTAGATTCGCCACGGGTATTTTCACCGGTTCGACCGAGGAACGCAACCACGAGCGAACGTACGAGCAAAAATAAAACGACACGGTTTGTGAAGTCGATACGTAGGACTCTACGGACCAGAGTATTAAAATAAGTGGGAAACTGTGAATACAGAAAACTGTGATTACACTCTGTGCGAGCATATACCATATATACGTACACACATACACACACACACACGCACACACACGAGTATCATTGACATTAACCGGTGTGGACACAACGTGAAAACTTCTCATCGACAATTCAACATGCCGACCAGTTTGTTCAGCGAAATGGACCGTGGAGTGAACGGCGGTGCTGCCGCTTCCCTCGAGGATCAACGAGCTTTGCAATTGGCATTAGAATTATCTATGCTCGGTCTCGAGGGTACTCCCGGATGCCCGGGCAACGGCACAGGAACCGGCACTGGAACAGCCAACGATCCAGACCCTCTGCAAACGACACCGGCAGGCGTTTTCGAGGAGGCACGTTCTAAGAAGAGCCAGAACATGACCGAGTGCGTGCCGGTGCCTAGCAGCGAGCACGTGGCGGAGATCGTCGGCCGACAAGGTAAGCACGAACATAACCTCGATTTGCGTCCGCTACTCGCGAATTCGGCCTCGGCTAAACTCCCACTTTCCCTAATCGATGGTGGCGCGTATGAAAACGTAAACGTAATAAAACTTAATGTATTTGATCGATACGTTATCATTCGCGACTTGCATATTATTTGTCCACAGATTCATTATATTTCCGGTTCGGTACATTTTATAAGATGTCAAGGATTAGAACTCTCTTGCGATATTGTTTTTATAGAATCTTGATCGTAGAAAAACTTGTTTTGCAAAACTCGATTCAGTTACATACTTAATGGGAGGAAAGTTTCCAAAGGTTAGATTTATGGAGTAGACAGGATGTGGTAAATTCCGTCATCAACAATGATATGTTTGCAAATATGGAAAGGATGGTTAAATACCGTTTATTTTTTATATTGTATTGTTATACCGTTTAGTACGCGTGATTTGGCTCATCTATTTCAAAATCAGTGTTTACCATTTCCATTAGTCTCACTGTTTCCAATGACATGTTACCAGATTCGAATTTTGAAATACCAAACTTCTCTTATGTTAACCAACTGTCGTTATATTGAATTTATGTTCGTCTTAACGTTAACATTTTTGTAAAATTAAGATTCCGAAAGAACTTATCTTCTATGGTGACAGTTGGTATTGAAATATTTTTCAAGAAGTGACATTTCGTATGCACCAGTCCGGACAGCGAAACGTCCTTTAAAATCGATAACGATTTATCGTCAGACGATAAATTTTACGGTCGGAAAGTAAACGCAAAATTGTGACTCGATAAATCGTGATTGTACGGGGCTTAGCTAGCTTCGGATTGACACGAATCGCACGACCGCGCGTCAACAAAGATATTCGTTGTACTCTTTCGCAGATATAGCCGTGCGAATGTCGAAAGTTTCTTCCAAGTAATCGTGACTCCGTTAACGTAAAATACAGGGTGGAGACACACTAGAATTGGACAGGAGATATTTCATGAAAACATAAGTCGACACTTTAAAATAAAATTTTTGTAAACAGACCATCGTGTTCAGAAAGAAATAGCTGCGCCTTTGGTGGATAAATGTGCTACCGAGTAAGACCTTGCTAATGTGTCTATTCATTGCTTTCCGTTTCTACTTATAAGTACGAATACGCAGTTATTAGATAAATAATTAAATTCGACCTTCTCAGAAACAACACGTCGTAGATAAAAAATTTATTTTGAACTTTTAACTGATTTTTGTCGAAGAATCATAGAGCACGAAGTTGCACAAATTTGTCCCCATCCTGTGTTTATTATATTTATCGAATGTTCAATAATAGGATATCAATTCCCGTATGACCTTAATTTTGTGTTATAAATTTAAAAAATCATAGACCTCAATGTTGTTAAACAAAAAAAACGACATAATATCTGCATGCATCAGGAATCAGGAATGGTTTAGAACGACGAGCAGGTACAATAGCAAATAGCGTCATATTGAAATAGCGTCGCGTTTACGTAAGTTGAATTCGCGCGTTACTTTATTTTGCATTCCTCGTTACCGGAATCTGTCGCGTATGGCACCGCCGACAGACAGTTCATTGGCACGGGCGTGAGCGTGCACGCCGGCGAGAAACGCGGTATCAAGTAATGGCGCAATTAAACCAATCTAACTTCAAAAAGCAAATTTGTTGGGTAACCCCGACATATCGCCGTGCAGTGAACCCTGTGGTAGGTCGTGGCCGTTCCTCGACGTACCTTCGCGATGAGCCCAGCTGGTCTATCCATAGTTTCTCGGCCACGGTTGGAAAATAAGTACAACACGAAAAGAATAAATTATGTACGATCGTGATGTATCGCGTGGGTGTCCAACACCGATGACTTTTTCGAAATCTTCGGCTAGACCCGCCGTGTTCCTCGAAACGGCAAAATCATACAATCTCTCACCGCTCTTTTATCTGTGCCGACCGACTACGCGCGTTTTTTTTTTCCTTCTCCTACACCATGGTTTCCAGGAAAGGTGTCAGAAATAGTGCGCGCACACACGCACACGGATATCCCCGTAGTTTGTCAGGGCAAAACGGAGGAGTGCGATGCAACTGCGCGCAGTTCGCAGTTTCGCATGACGCGCTCGTTAATAGGATGTATCATGGCGGACAGAGGCGTATCGTGGAAATCGTGAAAGTATCAAGGGAACGGTTTTTATCGGGTTTGTGTCGCGTGAATGAGTTAAAACGGCCGTCTCGGCGTAATTTCGCCAATAACGGGCTTCAGACGGTATATACACATGTACACACACCGAACGCGCGAGGCGGGTAATTGTTATTATCTCTCGTAGTGTCGCGATTAAGCGGTGTTTACGGTGGCTGACAGACTCCTGGCCGTCCGCTGGAGGGTACGGAATGTCGACGACCGTTAAACTTCGGGAATTTCAAACAAAACGTTTCCCTGAAAGTTTTACGACCTCCTTCCTCCTACCAAATGTCAAAGCACGGCCGGATACAAAACATACCGAACAGGACACGAACGTGACGGGGCCGATGCACCACGCGCTTCCGACCTTTTACACCCGAGTGTGTCTTCTAGTGGCTCGTCTTCAGTAAGACTAACCTGTCCCATCGGCCGTTCCACAAGAGAAAATGATGATTTTCATTTAGGTTATATGTTACTGAACAGGCAAGGTATGGCGTGTAAAAACACATGTGACTTAACTGTCACTTGCTTCTTCACAACGGTTCTTTTTATTAGCGATACATAGTTCAACTCCGTGGGACGCGATTCGAAATTAAGAAAAGCTGACCGATCGTGTCGCTCGCGCCACGTGGCTTGCCATTTAAATCTTAACGTTTGTCCGAGATCGCGCGTCGCGATAAATAATCTCGTAACTCTGATCGCGGCGATCAATACCGAGCCTGCGGCGGCCTCTCTTGCATCTACGTTCGTGAGATCTGCGCTTTTACCGATTAATCTTGGAGATAATACCAGCGACTCTGTTTCCTCAAGAAGTGTTCTCAATCGAATACGTTTATAATTGTGTTTAGATCTCTTCTCGAACGTGACAAAATGTAATCCATGATGGGAGGAAATAGAATTTCTTTTTTCCATATGTTTCTCAGGGGATATATGTACTCTATAGTCCATCGCGAAAGTTCCGATGGAATATAGAACGCGTGTAAATACACGCGGAAACGACGCTTATCGATAGCACGTGCCGTCGATCGATCATCTACGCCTCGTTCCTGGCCACCACCGGCGCATCTGTCGTCACGTACAAATGCGCGCGCAATTTACCCCCGCGAGATACAATTTTGCAAACACGAAATTGGACGGTCGCCAAACCGTTCGGTTCTGTCGAGCGTGTGGTCATCGAATTAGATGTCTATAAAAACCGTGAATGCTTTGCATTATTCGTCTCATTGGAAATAAATTTAACTGTCGTTTTGTTATTGGACGATTACCGACCTAGCCTAGTTAATTGCTAACCCGCTCGTTAAGAGCACAATTGTAAAATAACGATTTAGATGGTATAGCCTGTTTTTTGTGTCATTGGAGTTCAATGCCTCGAGTGGTTTATTATATTCATATCGTTTTCCACGGGAGGAACGTTGCTTGGTTCCCGGTATCTGGTCGATAACGTTGTATTATATCTGAATAACGTACCTGGCAACGTCGCTGCCTGTGCCCATGCCAAAAGCATTCCTCAGTTGCTTGACTTTGTATACATTATTCAATATGCTTTTCAATTAATTTATGTATCTATTATAATATCTTTTTGCTTCAATCGGAGGCGAGAGATTTTTAATTTCCTGTTAAGACTAACACTGGTAATCAATTTTCATTCTCATCCCGTGCTATTGGCGTTACTAACTTTATGGCTTCTAACGTTCTTGCTAGTTATTTTAACTGACTTTTGTTACTGCTACTTGCATCCTTGGAAACTAATCATTCGTTGTCTCAGGACAATAAATCGGAGCAGCTATTTATCGTCGATAGAAGGAGAGAGAAAAACGATGGCGCGTAAAAGGAAGCCGTATACGCTGTGGCCGGTCATCATGCGAGGCGCGCTAATATTGACCGTTCAATAACATTAGGCTCTCGGGACACTTAGAACTATGTCAAGACTGTCCGGCGTTTTAAATTCAGAACCCGCCACGGATTTCCGTACGTGCTTATCGTCTCTTCCGTTCGGGCCGGGCTTTCTCGCATCCTCTGTCACACTCTGCACGCGGTTTGAGAACCACTGACGCGTGTCGTGCGACCGAAACGCGCCTCGTGGAAGTAACCGTGTCCAATGCTTCTGCGTGTGGTGCCCACGGATTCACAGAACGATTAGTGTATGTATTTCTTTCGAGAGAAATTAATATTACCCATTAATATTAACATAAATCATTTATGATATCGTTAATTGTTTTCATCGTTTTTCTCTATAAAAATATTATCTCGCCACGGTGACAATTCGTTCGGGTCAACCTGATGATTTTAATTAACGAGATTGCCCTCCCCGATAGAATATTCTACAGATCCGTTCTCAAGCCTCTCGACCCACCGTGTCCCCGAGCATCAAACGTAACACGCCGAGATAACACGCCAGCCCGAACGGTAACATGAATCTCGCCGTTCTCCGTCGACATTTTCGATCATTTTCTTCGACCACGGGGTAGGCCACAACGCTCTCGACGCTCGGCGAATTACGATTTTTCCGTTCTTACGTAAACTTCTCTCCTGCTTCCTGCTTTCCCAGACGTTCTCCACCCCGTTCGCCACGACCGGTGCTAGGGTTGCGGATCCAGGCACGTCACAAACAGGCCCGTTTTCTCTCTAACATTTGCATTGTGTCTCCATAGATCGAGACACGATTCTTTTCCCCCGACGTGTGCCAGAGCTCGCCTCGAGAACCAGTTTAACGCACCCGGTATGAATCATTGCTACACCACGCGGCTAGAGTTCCCGTAGCTTGCTCGCGCGCGCGCCTAAATCTCTCTAATACCTCTCGTGCACAGGCGCTTCGATGATTTTAATCGTTA